TTTTGGTTTCTGAAATACAAATTGCTTTAAATAGCACTCGAGACATACACAGTATATTTTTCTTACCGTTTTTTTTTTTCTACAGTAATGGAACAAAGTTCTTTATAGAACAATCTTTTTTTTGGCATTATGATATTCAAGTATCTGTATCCCAATTAATTAGTCTGCGTTATTGTATCAGCTGTTCTATATTACTTACTTACTTATTTCTTAATATCAGTTTGTGAACACCAGCATTGTCATTTTTTTTTTCATAATGCCTTATTTGTAAACAGCTATATTGATATAAGATTACTGATACAGTGATAATGCAAATCATTTAGCTTGTATGTCATTTTGCAGATTGTTGAATCCTGTTATAAATCAAAATTTCGGTTTTTTTTGTTTGTTTGTTTGTTTTGTTTGTTTTTTTGACAAGATCATCCAAGTGGAGCGCAGTCTATTCCAATGATCATTATAATTGTTATAGTGAACGTAATTTATTTTACTTATCCTACATTATATAGAGGATATTTGTTTGTTTGCATGTAAGATTGAGATATAATTTCACTGAGTGAACACCAGATGCAATATTTTCACGAGTGGCGTAGCCACGAGTGAAAATATAATAGCTGGTGTTCACGAATGAAATATATTTCAATCTTATATGTAAAACAAATAAATTTTCTTTTTATTTTATGCTTTTCCAGTGATTTTAAGTAATTTTTAACTGATTTTGCCGCGTAACGTCGCGCATTCTCCTTTGTGACGTCATTATATCATGACGTCACATCATCAGTTTTGAAATCTAGTTCCGTTGAATTTCTCTAATTTTGTTAAATTTCTAACATGATCTATGGTGACATTGACTTTCTTTTCCTAAAGAAGCAAAATTTACGTATGACGGCATTTATTTCTGCCTGTTATTCCATTTAGTTATGATTTTCTGTTCATCCGCATTCATATATAGTCCGGCTACAGTGAAAATTATATTTTATAAAATTCACTAGTGGTTTATCAGAATATAATCATCTGATATATTACAATAAAACACTGGAAAGCATGAAATAAAACGTTTATATTATTTACATGCATATTGTCTCTCATTAAATATGAAATCAACATGTTTCGACTTCACGTAAGGTAGGTATGTTATGTTGTAACTCTACACACTATAGGTGAGCGCAATATGAATAAAAACTGGCAGTTTATTTAAGAAAAGACTGATTTTATATGACCTTTTATATATCAAAGTAAACTAATACTAGCGAAGTGTTTAACCAGTGGCGGATTCAGGCCTGAACCCCCCCCCCCCCCCAGCTGGAAACTATTTAAATATTTTTGTCAGCTGTAGTTTACTCCCTTTTGCTGCCATCCAGTTGTTAATCTCCTGCCTGGGGCTTAGCAGAGATCTTTATCTATCAACATGCTTGAATGACTTGTCCTTATAGTACACCATATTTTACTATCTTTGTTTGCGAAAGTCCTTTAATTAAGAAATTGAAAATTGTGATTTGTAAATTAAAAAGGTGGCGAGTTTTATAAAGATAATGTTAAAGGAATCACGTTTTAAAAATTACTTTTACTAAGATGAACTGATTGGTCATTTGCTTTTTATAATATTTTATGGCGGTTATATTTTTTGAATAAAATTTATACTTTACTGACCTAAATAATATCTAAAATGGACTCATTGATGGAAAAAATTCTTATTAGATATTAGTGTTTGAAATTTCTTTGTACGGTAGAAAGGCAATATTTTAATATCACTTCACTTTGGAAAATCGCTTAACTATTATTCAGAGGAGTAAATTGATCAAGTGTTTGAAATTATTTTCATTAACAGTCGCGCTTTTATTTTGTAAATGCTTACTACTTAACAACAAGGGAGTTCTGAAACACACCCATACAAAATACAATGTGATGTTAAACCATCCAAAAGATACCACGAACAGCACTAGAATATCAAGGAAATAACACCATTTTCAACCTCATATTTCAAAATTTTTGTCCGTCTATGGGAAAGGGCAACACTCCTAGTGAGTTATCAAAGACATCAATTACAATTTTAGTCACATGAACAAAATACTGGCCCAATCTTCAAACATGCGCAATTTTCGCCTGTTGCATTGTTTTTCTTTCTATTTTTGTTTTGTTTTTTCCCTCAAAATCTTCCACCCATATATGTCAGCCCCCACCCTCCAGAAAACCCTGTTCTGTACTCGCTCCTCTTAACTATTTCAATTTTTTTATTTTAAACATCTCAAGTTGCTTGAATGAAATAGGTACAAAATATAATAATTGATATCTGGTTAAGTGCATGATCAGGATTTTCAGTAAAAAATAATATTAAATTTCTTTTAAAACAAGATACGTGGCATTGTATGCTATATTTGCATTTGTCTCAGCATACATAGTAAGAATACCGTACTAGATTGGTATATATCACTTGGGTAGCAGTATTTGCTTATTCAACAAAACTTTATGCTTAATCAGCAGATATGAAATGTTTAAAAATATGTATGCGTATTACGACACGATACGCGCATGGCAAATTCATAACATTATTTCATGATAAACAGATAACATCAAGTTAAGTAAAGATTTATAATTTATTAACCAACACATTAATTAAGGTACATGTAACCAGGTATATATAAAATATATCCTGTCATCATACTATCATTTTTTAGGGGCGTTGTTAAATTATAAAAATTATCTTGTTTTAATCTAAGACTAGCCTTATAGTTATATGTTTATTCATCGGGTTTGGGTATGAAGTTTACGTTAAATAAAAAGGAATAAGTCATAAGAATGCCGCGCATATTTATGAATTATTATTATCTTTTTTCTAAAAATATTTGTATTTATATATTCAATGCAAAACAAGTTCTTGTAACCATGGACTGTCAATAAAAGTCCGTGTTGCTACTTTTATAAATCACTTCCGAGTCCGTTTTACATTCTGATGTCATATGATAAAACATAGCCGTGATCCGAGAACGGGTTAGTCAGCCCGCATGGTTCAATCGGTTAAAGAGCGAGACGTGTAATCTCGACATTGTGGGTTCGATTCCCGGGCTGGCCAACAAACATTACTTATCAGTCTTTCGGAAGAGACTTTAAATCGAGGTCCCATGTATGAGTGCTTCAACGCTTACATTTGGCACGCTAAACAACCAGCTAGGAGAAGCTTCTGGAATTGGGGCATCTTTCTGTATCAGTATCTTGCACTATCTTCCAGAAAAAAAATCTAAAATGACTAAAACTCTTCTGGAGGACTCGCCAACAAGCTAGGGCAATCAATGGCGAGTGTAAATAAACTAAAAAAAAACACACAAAACGGCTCAGACCGACGACTTCTTGATTAAATGATGTTATATAGTGTAACCTAAGGGGAGCGGTACCCTAAGTGGTTAAGGTGTCTAGCTGCCTCTCAACCCAGAAATCTTGGGTTCGAGCCCTACTCGGGTCACGACCTTGTTTCTACATATGTCATTCTACATATGTCACCAGTACTGGTTGGTTCATCAAAAGTGATAAATATAAGTTGCAAGAACTTGTTCCGCAATCGAGCTGAAATAAATATGTTTAAACCAAACCATATAGTGATACCTAAATAGTGGCGCGTGTTGATGAAACCCTTTAACCTAAACAAGTGAACACGGTTTATTTTTCCTTTCTTTGATATGAAGGGGCAGAAAAAGTACTGTAATATTACTGCTGTGTTTGTTCAGTATTCTAGCAAGAAGCGCCCTATCCAACAAGACTTCACAAACTAGGGTAGGTCGCTGAAGTAATTAAGATTTAGTTACCTAAGTTCATCTTTAGAAATCCTCTCAACTCTAAATATACATTAAATTTTTTTAATTGTATGTATAGTGTTTTACTTTATAAATTCCTGAATATACATGTATAGGCCTACTTCTTGATTATTAATTGAGAAAGAGTGGGACAAGCCGGAGCTGAGCACAAGACTCCTAATCCGGAGGTCGTGAGTTCAAACTCCACCAGAGGCAACGATTTTCTTTTGGCGTCCTTAATCCACACAAGGGCAAGATCGAGGTAAAGGGTCAACTAGGTCCTATACCAACTCGGCACGGGTCAACTCGGCCCTCTATTAAAAACTTGTTAGGATATTGATTTTTTAGATTGTTTATTTGTAAACATTTTAAGGAGTAAATTACTTGAAATTGTATTCAGAGGTATGATCACTAACAAATAGAAAATGAAAAAGTTGCCAGCTAGTGTACTGTATATGTATATACGTATTGTTAGAAATTATGTTGTAAGAAGATATATCAAGACCATATATGTTAAATATTGATCCATAAATAAAGTTTTAAGAATGATTTTTACGACAACAAATTTAATTGTATTGAACGATATTTTTTACAAAGAAAAAAATAACATCTGAAGTAGGCAAAAACATGGAGCTAAATATATATGTGGCAAAAACAATTAAACATGCATATAAATTGTAAATTCTTCCTTTCTCTACAAATTCACATACAAATTGGTACTTTCATCAATAACACTTTTCAATATCCTTGAGTCTGTTACTGTGAAAATGTTAAACAATGAAAGTTGTGATGAAAACATATAAAAAGAAGCAGCCGTGAGGACTTAATTAATTGTGACTTAATTTGAAAGTGCTGTGGACCCCATTTTGTACATGTAAGTCCGTGATAAAACGTTTAAATATCCGTCTTCCTGCAATGAGACAATAATTGGATATAAAACAAATTTTTGATGAAAACATCACATCTATATTTAAACACGGTTGCACAACTATGACAAGTTGTTTCTAGTTATTTATTTCTGATGAAATGATTCGCAAGCAGTTTTACCTTCCCGGAAGACGTATGAATACATTTTATTTACTTTATTCTAAAAATATATCTATAAATTCGTGCATTAACTGTATGAATATTAATCTATCTTCTTTATAAAAATAAATAATCTTTGTGATTAGATTAGGTTCTTGACTCTCTTATAAAACTCCAGTTTATGAAAGAACTATTTTTATCAGTAGTTACTTCCGTATGTGTTGTTAGGCACAAAATGTAAACAAATATTATGTGCTTCTGTTGTGCAAGAATAGCATGTGAAATGTATATATAAAATGGGTTTGTCAGCGAAAAATAAACACTTAAATGGATACAGTTACATAGCTTAATACAGAAAGTTTTTTCTTCTTGACACCTAGTTATTGCTAGGCCGATTTAAAATTGTTGATATTGATAATCCGTTCGTCCTCCCAGGCTCTCGTACCGCCTTGGAAAAATAAATATACTGTAGTGCTTGCCTGATATAATTTTAATCTAACATGCGCGGAAGAGGTAGAGGAGGAAGGGGCCGTGGGAGAGGGAGAGGAAGAGGTCGATCTGCAGGCAGAGGACGAGGTCGATCTGCAGGCAGAGGACGAGGTCGATCTGCAGGCAGAGGAAGAGGTAATTGTGTTATAATTTCATTTGAACTGTTTTAACAGACCTGTGTACTTCGATCCTCATGTTGTTTTGATTGCATTTTATAGAAAAATAAAATAATACCGTTATTTCCAACTAGAAATTGCTAGACTGTTACAAGAAGTAAGATACAGTATACAAATGTACAATTGCACTTTTCACCCAGTGGCTGAAAGAATTCACAATTTCAAAAAAAGATACTATAAAACTAGCGGTTTAAAAATGGCTTAATTTGTATTGTTTTAGCGTAAGAGAATAATTAGAGATATATCGATTTTACTCGAAGATAAGGGAAACAACTCGTATTTTTTCACTCAATATACATGTACCTCGGTTATTTACGTAGTTCATATGAAAAGTGTTTATGGGTGTATTGCAATAACACAGAAATAGTTTTAATCAATATATTTGGTTTTTGCGTATGTTAACCAGGATAAAGTACTGACTTGAAGCAGATTTTACACAAGTCAGAAATTACAATCAACGGTTTCCGGTTTCAAAATGTCAAGAAATGCCAAGTAATATGTCATTTTTTTCACAATTTTATGACATATCACGCTTTTTTTCCCACAATATCAACAGGCCCAGGCCCCTTCACAATTTTGACAAAAGATGCCTTGCACTCAATTTTCAGTTTTACCTTCTATGCATCGTACATATTTTTGAATGAACATAAGTGTGTCTGAAATTCATCCTTGACCTGCATGTGACATCTTGTATTACTATTACACCATGTTGATGTTCACTGTGAACAGTTCTGAACCATGACAAATGTTTAGGCAGCATCCAAGTTAGAGAAATTATATAATATGAAATTTATGGAGGCCAAAATTAAGGTGCCATCTTTGCCATTAGTCTGCCAATAGCCATCAAATGATAATTATGGGATACATGTGTATATCAATATCACTTCTCCATTTTCCGAAACATTCATAGTAAATCATTATGAAATCACCATGGAAAAGTTTTAAAACATATACATTTAAAACAATATGTTAATATTTTTTCATTGGTTATATTAAACACTAGGTATCAGTTGTTGTTTTTCTATTCAACAAACATGCAGTGAGTTTTCACAAGAAAATGTGGGATGGACTGTCAAACATTGATTGACATTTTCACTTGCATGTATCCATAATTGTAACATTACACTCAGAATTATGAATAATCAATTATTTGAATAACAATTTTTATAATGAAAGGCTTTGAAGAATTACTAGAGTTAATTTATGACATACATATACTTGAAGGAGCCAACCAAAATCCACTGTGCATGTTTTATCAACACTGCCACTTTTTGTTTATTTTGTTCAATTTCCTTAATTTGAATTTGTCCATCAATGCATGTATTAACTGTCTTTTAATTCACATTACAGGTGGAGCAGGTTTTAGGTCAAGGTCTCGTATCAGTAATGGTAGTGACCATGAAGAAACTAATACTGTAACTGATCTTGATGTGGATAAAGAGGTGACAGCTTATTTTGTTGGGAGTGTGTCAGCTGACCAGCATTATCAGGGTCAGACACAGAATAGAGACAGGTATGCTGCAGGCATGGCAGTACTGGAGAAAAATGGTGTTGAAATTGCCTTGAGTAAGTTGAAATTTGCCTTTTGAATTGTCTGTTACTAGCCAACTCTTTTTCATAGTAAATCCTCACTTACATGTACATGTATTTGAAAATCTTTAATTACTTGAGTTAACCTCATTCACCACTTAAGATGAGTTATACTTGGTTATCACTTGAGTAAACCGCATTCATCACTTGAGTTAAGCGCATTCATCACTTTAGTTAAGTGCATTCATCACTTGAGTTAACCTTATTCATCACTTGAGTTAACCTTATTCATCACTTGAGTTAACCTTATTCATCACTTGAGTAAACCTCATTTATCACTTGTGTTAACCGCATTCATCATTTGAGTTGAAATCTTTCATTACTTGAGTTAACCTCATTCATCGCTTGAGTTAACCCCATTCATCACTTGAGTTAAACTTATTCATCACTTGAGTTAACAGCATTCATCGCTTGAGTTAATCTCATTCATCACTTGGGTTAACCTAATTCATCACTTGAGTTAGCCTCATTCACTACTTGAGTAAAGCTCATTCATCACTTGAGTTAAAATCTTTCATTACTTGAGTTAACTGCATTTACCACTGAGTTAACCTCATTCTCCACTTGAGGTAACCTCATTCATCACTTGAGGTAAACTCATTCATCATTTGAGTTGAAATATTCATTAAGATATTATGGCATTACACATACTGATATAAATTGAATTCTCAAGGAAGTGAATGTAATTTTTGAATATAATATGATTTAGGATTTGAACTTGAACATACAACAAAACATTTGGTTTACTAGTAGTGTTAGCGATTTACCCTAACTTTACCTAGTACCTGGGACTCAGTGCTAATAGATCTGTTACAACCAAATTCTAGATGGGACGAGTCCTCAATCACAAAAATGTCAATGTTTGCATAACTTCTTAATACAATCAAATTTGTGTACTTTATCTATAATTTGACGGCTGTGTGCTCTTGAATAATATTTAAGTTTAGGGCTGAAGGTCAATTAACTAAAAAAACAGTCATGTTCAATTTGTCATGTTGAAGAGCCTGCAAATCAACGGTCTACAGTTTTAAACGGTCTCCATGGTCTCAAAAGAATGTGGAAAAGAGACTGCTGATTACTTAAATTTACTTCATATCTAGCATTAATATAAGCAATGGACAAGGGTTTATTTAAATACTTTTATATTTTTGTACATATAAGGTACATAGTAGGTAACATTTTCCTACTTAACAACAGAACAGTCTCTTATGTCAAAACATATTGAAGACAGTGACTGTTGATGTTCACGGATACCATTGATAGGTTGGCCTAAAACGAGGAAAAAGTGTTTCATCGCAGGGACTTAACGGCCCTTTTTTTCTTTCCTCCCTGGCAATTTACCCGAGTAAATTTATATGTTTACTCAATAAACGCGAACACTGACTAGGGATAAATGGCTGAATTATCATAGTGTCACTTAATCATTATTATTTTTTGCTCAGAGTGTCATGTCAATTTGTGAAAATAGATATTAACTTTTTATAAATTACTAGTATATTGTAAAGGGATTGAAATGTTGTACCTATATAACAAGCAAAAACAAATCTTTACAAGTGCTTAATAAGTTATGTGTATATTACATGTAAATTCAATAATTGACAGACTGATTACCCATTATTCAGTTTATGGTAAGTTTAAGTTAGCCTTAATTATTAAAACACCTGTTTGTGTTAACAGATGCTAGAGTAAGAGCATTGGCAGCAGCCTGGGCGAGACAGGACTATGATCTGGCAGATGCTTTCCTTCAGAACAAGGAATCATTTGGGCTTAATGAGGTTCTTAAAGCACTGTCCCTGTTGGACTCTGGGAGGCAGGTTCGAGTCCTGGAAAAGAAAATGAAAAGGCTACAGATGTCAGCTGGAAAGGTCAAACCACAGACCATGGGGAAATTGAAGTCAGATATTGATAACCTGAATAAAAATAAACCCAGTGTAAGTATTTATTTATAGTACTTAGCTTATACACATGTTTATAGTTAAAGATAGAGCAAAGTAGAGGAGTCATGGTAGATAAAGATTTTGATAATCCTCATGATAATATTATGTAATATTAATAATGTAACTTTCCTTTGTCAGTATTTGAGCTGCGTAACGAGAAAACCAACATAGTGCGTTTGCTGCCAGCATGGATCCAGACCAGCCTGCGCATCCGCGCAGTCTGATCAGGATCCATGCTGTTCGCTTACAAACCCTATAGCAAGTAGAGAAACTGATAGGGAACAGCATGGATCCTGATCAGACTGCGCAGATGTGGATGCGCAGGCTGGTCTGGATCCATGCTGGTCGCAAAAGCACTATGTTGGTTATGTCGTGACGCGGCTCATTTTACCTTTAAATATTATCATCTCACTTGTTTTTTATGTAAAAACTAAAAAACATATAAAATAAAATTTGGATTTTTGTTCTTCTTGAAAATGTTTTTAGATCTCAACTTCTTATTTATGAATATACATTATATAAATATATTCACTAATGTAACATATTAACATTACTTATTGAACATAAAGTTTTAATTTACTACCATTCTATAAGAATCAGTCTATTTTCTGAGTTTTTATTTAGGTTTATCAAAAACACAATTTTCTAGCAGAACATAATCATCCTTTCTAGCTCCACTTTTCGAAGAATGCGAGAACTATTGTACTCACCTAGGTATTGGCGCCAAACTTTGGTTAAGTTTTTGTGTGCAAATTGGAGTTTCCAAAACTACTGAAAGGATTTGGTTTAAACTTCACACACTTATATCAAAGCATGATAGGAGGTCACTCTCTTGAACCTATAATTCTAACATTGATTTTGACACAATTCTGGCCCATTTTGAACTTGGAAAATTCTTCATTATCAAGCACTGAGGATAGTCGAGCAGACCTGACAGCTCTTGTTTATATTTAAAATTTACCCGTTTTAAAGTGTGGGTGTTGCAGAGTGCAAAAAGTTCCTGACTTCCTTCTCACCACTGTAAAGTCTGTTTGCATAATAATATAGTGGCTTACATGTATATGACTTGAAAAACAAAAATGGAAGTGCTTGTTCAGTTTTCAGTCATATACATCATACACAAGTATATATCTCAGCCCGGTTATATTCTGTATATCACATCATCAACATGTAAAACTTATGATGTAGTATATCTTTTAACCTTTTAATATAACTTAAATTTTAACACTTACCATAAACTGACAAATGAGTTACTTCCCTTTAATAGTTAATTTAGGATCAAAGTTGTATCCACTGACATTCCGTTACATTTAATGAATTAAAATTATCTTTATGTCTTTATATTGTGACATTATTGTTGTTATATAGAATGGTACAGCTAGTGGAGCAGTATGTAAACACATACAGAAGTGGGTAAAGAGGTTCACGAAGGAGGAATTGGAATTTTATGCCCTACATTTCCCCAAGGAACCTTGGAAGAAACTGGCTGATATTTGCCATTTTCACCCAAAGAAGGTAAAGAATACTGTTAGTTAACACTTCATCACTTCTGAGTTTCATAACATGATGCTGAATGTTTTCATTGTATCATTTCAGACAATTTCTTAAATATATTCTATTCATTGTATGTCGATATTGTACACACATAATGTTGGATCTGATAAATACATGTATAGAAAAATCTCTCATGAATATGATATCCAGTGACAAACATGAATCACATATGACATGACATATCATACATACACAAACATACCCCCACACACACACACATACATAATTACACACATACATAATTACATCCATGCATCCATCAATCTGTTTTTTGTTGTAGTAAAAAGTAAATCAATAAGAGAAAAGAGACTGCTCTTTCACAATATTCATTTTTTGTAATAAAAATAATTTCCTCTTTTAAAAAGAGCATAAATTGCTTTTTAGAAAGGTTTAAATCAGTGATATTTTGAATTTTTGTTTTTCAGGACTTTGCTGCACTCGACTGGTTTCTGGAGTTTTGTTACGGGACACCAGCACCCGAGGACACACTTGTACACAGATGTAAAGAAGTTAGTCCAGATAACGTGAATGAGCTGTTGAAGGAGTTTGAAATTCCGTATGCCCATATAAGGTCAAAAGTTCCTGATTCTGATAAACTGACCGAGGAGTCAAAGGCAAGGATAGCTTCGTACGAGAGCAAGCTGGATACATTACTGTGGTGAGTTAGATTTTCTTTTGCAAGACCAACATATAATTTCTTCCTTTAAACCAGTGTGAGTTTGCTTATGTCTACAATCATATTGTAAACGAAAGTCATATTGTAAATATAACTCAAACTTCACACTGGACTGCAAAATCAAATACCATTCATTTATACCAAACATGTTAATCATTTTAACAATAATTTTCAAACATAATTTGGATTAATACGATTATTTCTTGCCATTTGGATAATTTCATAACTTTTACAACCCATACCAAAAAACAATAGTCAATTCACCTCTCCAATGTAAGACAAGTCACACACTTTCAAATGACGTCATTCCTTTTATGAATAAATATTGGGCTCTTAGAACTGGTAAAAGATCCTTATATAATATACTCAACTGATATATTGACTAATGTTAATGTTAAACCTCCAGATTCAAGTTATTTTCATGAAAATTTTGAAAATGTATTAAAATGTAAAATATTGTGAAGTAAACAAAGAAAATAATTTTTATATTACAAACAGCATAAACAACCCATGTAAATCACCAAAATGAGGTTAAAATATGCAAAGATGGCCCTTACAGCGTTAACAACGCAGTAGAAATATGGGAGAAAATACTGCAAAATGGGTCATAAATCGCTCATTACATAGAAATTATTACTCTTATCTTGAATCTTTTTACTTTTCTGAAAATCTCAGTATTTCTTACTAAAGTTTTATTTTCTTGAAATATTTTAACTCATCTGGAGGCGAGCAGCTTTAAAGTATTTATTTCAATTATATTTTCCTTTTTAATTTTAGGTACTATGAATATCTTGGATGTACTGAAGTTGATAAAGTTATTCAGAAAAGACTTAAAGCAGGGGAGACAATTACACTGCCAAATGGAAAATTATTGGAGAGGTTACTCTTCCTGAAATTACACCGCTATAAAAAGGAAGTTGATGAGTGGGGCTTTGAAATATTCGGGGAAACAGAGAAGGATAGAGTTTTAGATGAAACAAAGGCACCGTTCTTTAAAGATCTCCTGCCATTAGCTCAGGACAAAATGAGGGATATAAGGTATAATATTGTACAATATAAACATGTTACATATAAAAAAAGACTAGTTAAAAATGTCACTATATAGGTGATAAAGAAATCGTCATCATTTGCTGCCTAAGTTCAGAGAGTAAAAACAAGAATCTGTTAAATAATGGGTTCTTCTTTTACTCTACAGAATCTGGGACATAAGATAGAACTAACAAATCAGTTCTGGTTAAGTTTTGATGTTTTCAAACTTGAGATTTTGGGTTCTATGAGTATCAGGGATTATGAAAGTCTAGATTCTGCCAACTGAGCTTAAAATGACTGGGTATAGATACAGTAGTTCCTGATTTTTACAGTACTTACCTCCCTTACCAAAAGTGGAAGCCATTTTTGGGGTCAATATTCTATACTGTATAATTGACAAAATATAATTTGAAAAAACTGCTGATTTTGGTGACCTGTCAAATTTTTATATACATATGCCGCAAAATATTATTCTAACAACAATGCTTCATACTATTCCCCTATTAAACAGAGAGGGCAATCAAGTGATTATTTCAGATAAACCAAGCACCATCAAAAATCCCTTACACAGAAAAATGACGTGGAATAAGGTATAATAATGTCAAAAACAATTACTCAAGACTAATTATGGTTTAACACATAATTTTTCCAATTTTTTTTAGCATGTACAGATTGAATAGGAAAATCTTCTGCATCGAGGTAAAAACAAGATTGTATCATTAAATGCTTGTAATGATCACTCAGTCCTATCTGACTCCCTTATTATATTCCTGCACATTTGAACTTTTCTACAACAATTATTTTGAAATTTATATAATTATTTCCTAATTATAGCACCAGTATGTAAATGAATTTTATCAGTTTTTATGAAGATGATCAAATAATGAAAGATTTTCATCTTATCTTTCGCATATGATATATAAGAAATGACCCCCAAAATGGCAGCCAGGGGAGGTAATAATTGCTATGTTTAAAAACATCTGTTGGATAAGTAATCCAGGGGTTATTGGTTCAAACCGCATGGCATACTTTTTGCCGAATAATTTCCTCAACATAATTATGTGTAATAATCTTTTTGGCTATATAAAAAATTTCTACATTCAAAGACATATTCAAATCTGTAACTGTTAAGAGCAACTGATTTGTAACCTAAGAGTTTATCCACATGGCAAGGGATGATCTTTAGTGAAGCTAGTTAAGAAAATTTACTGTACATGTACATGTATTTCAGTTTGTCATTGGAGTCTCCAATCGTTGTCATTGGTGATGCATCAGGCTCTATGGAGGTAGCTATCAAGACAAGCTCAATAATTGCTGGTCTCTTAACTGCAATTACATCTGCCAAGTTGTGTTTCTTTGATGATGAAAACAGATTTGCTCCATATCTTCCTCAGACTATTGAAGAGGTAACTATAGATTTTAAGATTTTTGTATTTAATTTTGTAGCATAAGAATATAGAAATTACAATTAAATAGATTAAGATTTTAAATAAACTTTTACCTTGCTATTATTATGTGATGGGGGTTGTCTGTGGCTGATTGGTTAGGGTCACTGACTCAGATGCCATTCCTGCCTAAAGTAAAAAATGGAGGTGCTTCCTCCACCAGAAAAACTGGAAAGTGGCCATATGACCTTTACTTTGTTGGCCCCATGTTAAACCCAACCCCCCAAAAAGGTATGTGATAGACCAGCCCTTTTATGAATTTTGAGCTGGTTATTGTTAATTAATTGTACTAAAAAATATCCTGTTAGAGTGTAAGGATTCATCATACTTAATGGAATTGCATTCTAGCATTGAGGCTTTAAGGTGGTTTAGGCAAGTGTTAAAAGCATTGAAACATTTGATTTTGTGCATATTCTTTCACACATTCCCTTCCTTTACAGTGTTCTTCATAAATATGTCAAAATTGCCCATCCCTTTTTTTAACGACATGTCACAAATTCTCCAATATGTACAAATGTATGCTATGTTCTTCACTGGTAACTCTTTAAATTCATGAAACTACCTCATATTCCCTGACAAATGGATACCCCTTTTATTCTCTGCTACTTGCTAATTGTATTATTCTTTACCAGAAGAAATCCCTGTTACATCACAAATGAGCCGCGTCACTACAAAACCAACATAATGGGTTTGCGACCAGCATGAATCCAGACAAGCCTGTGCATCAGCGCAGTCTGATCAGGATCCATGCTGTTCGCTGTCAGTTTCTCTTCTTGTAATAGAGTTGGTAGGCAAACAGCATGGATCCTGATCAGACTGTTTGGATGTGCAGGCTGGTCTGGATCCATGCTGGTCACAAACCCATTATGTTGGTTTTGTCGTGACGCGGCTCAAATGTATTATACTTCTCACAAACTGTGGCCCATGTATAACTCTGAAGTACTGGCAAAATCCCCCATATTCTGATTGTTTACAACTTCCAAGGTATATATCAGTTGAATAATTCCCCTCCCATCTTATTACTTTAAAGGAACTCCACTGAGGTCCAAAACCATGTGTAGAAATATAACATTGGAATTTTTACATAGATCAAGTGGGACACTTGAAAAACTGCAAACACTTATTAAGAAATATTCTCAGAAATTGATTATTGTATTTTTATGTTATTTGTAGCCCAATTTTTTTTAAAGCTTTGGATCGCTTCTCATTTTTGGGGTAAATTTTCATTATGATAATAATTACTATGAGTGAGAATATTATCTGAAATTTTGCACACAAGTTATTGGTGAAGACTTTAATCAAACGGTACATAAGTTTTTATAAATTATTTCAAGTTCTGTCTTATCAAAAAAAAATTTTTTAATCAGTGAAGTCCCTTTAAACAAGTATGAGCCACCTGGCTAAACTCTGGGCATACTATTGATGCAACAAGCTACCATATTTTACTGATTTAGAAACTTATTTAAGACATGGTATTATTGACGTTGTTATATTTTTTATGCTTTAAGGTTCTTCAGCTGGCTGTTGACACTCTTGCTAGAGGGGGGACAACTCCAGCTGCCAGTCTGTGGCCATTCTATGAGAAGAAGGAGGTGGTGAAGACGTTTATTATTGTCACTGATGAAGAAGAAAATGGAACATACCATGATTATAGGTATATTATACTCACTGTTTTTGTGAATGAAATGTGAGGTGGAAGACAAGTTTTTCTAGCACCAGTGTAAACAGTGGATTATCCTATCTCATATGCAAGGAAGAGTTTTTAGCACTGGTGTAAATAGAAAATATTCCTGTCTGATGTGCAAAGAATAACTGTACATGTATGTACTTCAGTACTCATAATACCTTAAACTGTATATGCATTTAGTCTGGCTCTTATATACTAGTATAGTTACTTTGACCTTCAGTTTTCACCGCTTTTATACAATGATTCTGTGTTGAGAAAGGAGACAATTTTCCCTTGTCAGAATACAAAAATAATTATTCCCTCTTTGTTTAAAATAAAAGTAGTGTATAAAAATCTATATGATTATTCAATGGATGAAAGAAAAAGACTTTCTTTTTCCAAGAAAAGACCCCTTTTTCCTAATTTAAATGTTTTCCTAAAGGAATTCCACTGAGCACTTAAAACAGAAAAATGTGTAAAATATGAATAAGTCTGGACTCAGAAATAAATTGAAAACCATAGTTTTGTGCTGTTTTAGCCTGATTTTAGTGAAAAGCGTTGCAATGTTTTTGAATTTTGGGCCATTTTTTTTCACAATAAGTGGAAAAATGGAGTCAGCTTATTATCTGAAATTTTAATTTTGCAGAAGTCTCCTATATCAAATGGAACATAAATCTCGAAAAATGTTTTAAGTTCTGTCATGACAAAAAACTGCAGTGGTGTCCCTTTGAGTAAAAGTAGTGCTTTTTCTTTATCTAAGTGACTACATTTAGTTGTTCTTTTCTCATATATTGTTGCTTCCTATGCAATTTTCAGTACTAATGCATTATATTTATGTATATGTAATTTTATTTTTCAGTTTCCATGAATTATTCAAGAAGTATTACGAAGAAGTGTACCCCGCTAAGCTGGTTTTTGTATCGTTTTTTGAATACCAGCAAAGTAAAGGTTTTATGGTGCCTAAACTTGAACAATTAGGGTTTAAACCTCTGCGCTTTGTCTTTGACTTATTTCGTCCAGACCTTACAAAATTAGACAAACTGTTCGGTTTGTTGACAACAGAAACATCAAATTTTAGTGATCAAGTAAGAGATATGGAAAATACTATAAAGACAAAAGGTGTGGCTAAAGCGTTTGAAACTGTCAGTGTTGTCAAAGATTGATGGCATTTCTTCGAACAAATTTGACAATATTATAGGCAATTGGATAATTGTGACTGTTTTGTTGATAACAAGAAACTAAGAAAATATTATATGACATTGGATAGTTTGAAAAAAGATATTTATGTGATTAAAAATAGCAGCATTTTCTGTTCTTTGTTAATTTGATCTGTTGTTTTGTAGACAAAAAAGAGCTACATTTTTGACAATGAATATGTAAGGACATTTCAGCAAACAAAAAGTAGCTACATTTATATAGGTAAATTGTTTTGAGAACAAAGAGAAGCCACACTTATGTCATTGATTTGTTTTGAGATCAAAACGCAAACATTTGCAATATTTATGCCCGTAAAGTGCTTTAAGAACAAAGAGAAGCGTCTTCTGTGTCATTAAATTGTTTTGGGAACAATAAGTAGCAATATTTTCTGCTAAAGGAAAATGTTATACTGCTAAATAAATCTGTCCACATCTGATTCTTTTGAGTGACTATAGTGTAATCACAGGACAGATATTTGATATTTAAATTATTGAAATATGTAAATATATTTGAATATCTGCTGAGACAGATGTGTTTTTGACAAGGGAAACATATATTTTTATTTTCCTTACGATCAGCTGACCGTAGTCGTTATCAAGTGATATTGACTTTTTGATATTTAAATTTTATATAATATTATACTTGATTATTTATAATAATTATGATATATTGTTAAATATAAGACTAGTCTTTTTATACATATCACTAACATAGATTATATTCATTTTATTTATATGTCTTTCCAAGTACAACATTTTATTAGTTTGTATTTTTTTTTAAATTTTATTTTTACACACTTACACATGCTACATAATGATTATGCTATTTTTTATGAATTTATATTTTATATTGTAAACGTACATTACAAAGTGCATTTTTAAGATATTTAAGATTGATTATGTATATTTCAGTTGATATTTTATATGCCGTAAATGTAAGAATGATTTTAGTCATAAGCTGATATTTCTATGTTTGCAGTTGACGTGTTGATATCTATATATACTTGTTAAGATTATAAAACGATTACATTAAATGTACTACTTAATAACATAATAAATTTGACAAACTCCTGTCTGTGTTTCTCATTTAATACAGATGATATTTCATTTAAATCATAATTATACGTTTTTTTTCCTCAAAGTAGGAACGGCAATTCTTTATGTTTGTAACAAATATCCCTGTGTACTTTTAACGCTTTTAAAATGGTTAACGCATCATGCCAATTTCATTTACTGACATTAAACCGTTAAAAAGCATTGCGGATTCGGCAGATTATGAATCACTATAGAATGTATTTACTGTACTGTAGAATGTTCATGTGATGACTGAACTCTGTCTTCCTCATCATACTAGAGTGTCGTATATCATGCACTACAGAATGGAGATGGGTTTCGGGTCAGTAATGTGATATTTCAATTGTGGTTTAATGTCATATTTAAACATTTATTATGTTAGTTAAAAGGTAGGTTATCCAAGTTCGATATGACATGGCGACTTTCCCCCATTCCCACTTTTTCAGTGGAAATGAATACAGTGAGTAACGCACTATATTATATTGACAATTATTATGTCAGATGTGTTTTTATGTGTTTTTAAAGCACCTTTATCAGTACAGGTGTTTAATTGTATACGATCCTTGCCTCTTTTACAATTAAACAAGACATTAAAAGTAACTACTTATGCTAAATTTTCTGACGCAAAGCTCGATTTTGAAAGCAAAGTTTGAACTTGAAAGCAAATTTCGAACTTGAAAGCAAAGCTATTACTTGAAAGCAAATCGCGAACTTGAAATTCAAAAGCAAAGTTCTAACTAGAAAGCTATCCCTGAATTTGAAAGCAATACTTAAACTTGAAAGTAGAACTCAACAAAGTAGAGCTCCACCTGCATTTATTCAAACGTTTCCTTGGGGCACCGCCTTTATAAAGGGACAGGGATATTTGATCGTCTCTGATTTTGATTAGATGTCTAATGCATCATTTATTGATAAAAAGGGAGAATCTGAGTATATATACGCTATGGTTTGGTTATGTTTAGGTTGAGATAAAAAAATCAACTTCAGAGTGCACGAAATATAGATTTGAGTGTTGAAAACTAAGTCCATTGAACTTTTCTTGTTAGTGTAAAATATATCGGTAAAATAAATATCTCATGAATCACCGACATAGTAGAGAGAAAAAAAACTATAAGGATATCTTTTTATTAATCCGACCATCCTTAAAATATTTCTCGGTAAATTCAAGAATTAATACATACAGATCTTGAAGCAGGCAGATTATCTTCTATAATAAATCTTCTATAATAAAAAATATAACCCAACTGTAAATCGACCCAGCGGAAATGGACTTCAATATATTTTCAACACGGCTGATTTATATCAAAATATTATCAGTAGGTTTCCGCCATTCATTCACTTGAACAATTTAGCTCAACTTCTCATGTGGCAAAACCCCCGCTATGACATCAAGATATGTTTTCTCGCAGACGAGATTTATTTCTCCGCAGACGTCTGACAGTAAACAAAGTGAATGAAAAGGTTAACCCAGATAACTCATATGTAAACAGCGTCCTTATCAGTTTCATACAGACCGCAAATATTTTCCAAAATATATTTTTAGGAATTTTACTTGTATATTTTCCCTCCCATTAACATAGAAATTCATTCATAAAGAGGGTCGACCAGAAAGTAGCGATCCTGATAAATATTCTTCCGGATTAATAATTATTCTATTATTCTGAAACATTTTTTTCCTTATTCTAGCAAAAATGTAATACACTTCTATATGACACAGAATGAAATCTGTTTAAGATAATGTAGAAATGATCCTTGTTTTCCGAGGTCAAAGTTGGTTATAATATGGAAAAGCTATAGCTGACCGTGCAACAATATAGAGCCTAATTTAGACCACAAAAATGTGCTAGTAACAAAGGTAGGCAATTAACCAAATCTGAATCTTTAGCTGTTGGTGATTATCGGCATTATTACTAATTTGGAGCACAAAAAACAAATCAGTATGAAAATATTAATAGGATTCGTGCATTGCATCCGTAGGTATTTCTTGTGGGACATTATTATTGTAATATAACTATACTAATTGGATCCTGGTAAAATATTTTTGTTTGAATTTTTCTAAACGTTGAAATTAGAATGTACATATGTTGGCCATTGGTATCATGATTGTAATTGTCCTTATAGGCTTATTGACTTATAGAATAAACTATGTATGATAAATCTAGTCTGATGAAAATACGGTTATATCTTCACACATGGATTGAATGTATTATATTCGCCTGATATGCAATTTAACAATTTATCTAAACTTTTCTACAGATAATGTGTAAAATGATATGTTTCGTATATTTAAATCAACGAAATTAGTATGCGTATTTTTTTTTTTTTTTTTTTTTTTTTTTAAACTGAATTTAACTTAAGTACTGTTCTTTGGAGATAAACACTTGAGACCCATGCAATAGTTAAAATGTTGCAAGTTGTCTGGATAATTATCAACATTATAACAGATGCCATTCATTTTAAAGAAATTACGAAATATACGTGCTGTAAATCATAGCCCATTACCTTTTTTATTAGGTTAAACTCGGACATTAAGGTGCAGTATTTAAACAGGCATGAGTGTATATGATATCAAATAACGGACTTCACGTCTATTCGTCAAACTACGTGTTTACCAACCCACTCAAGAAGAAAAACACTTGAATGAAGCGGTATAAATCTACGCGGGATATTTCACATATCGGTAAATATAATTTATGAATGAAAAATGGAAGTTGTGACTATGCAAAGCTACGGATTATTTCTTGTGATATTTTTATGTTTTACATGGGGACTTAGGGCCACTGCGGGTAACATAATTCTGCCGGAGACCCCTAGTCAACCGGTAAGATATTTTATGTTTTTATATAACTAATTACATAAGTTACATTATTGAAACTACAGCTCTTACAACATATTTTTAAAATAATGCATTGCGATTATTTTTCATTTTCACACGAAGATTGTCGCGTGTAATTCAAAATCATTATATTTTGTAAATTTTTCATTTTAGGACTTATCTTTATATAAAAAAATCTCTTATTGTTTAAAAAAAAGAACTTGACGAAGAAATCTAAAAGTACGATTGAGATATCAATAGTAAATTTGTACTGTTTTATTATGAATGGTATGGTTTATATATATACAAGATTTTATCACCCTCCCATCTTATAATTAGTTTTTGTCGTTATGAACACTAAATGAAAAAAAACCCCACTAAATTTGTAAGTAATTAATAGAACAAAATATAAACACAGGAGAAAAATGTACATACATCAAAGTAATGCAAACATAAAAAATACCATAGTTTATTGTATCAATACATTATTTAATGAATATCAAACAAAACAATAAGCATTTCTATATGTACTATTTATAGTAGAAAAGGTTATGTCCTTTATTTCAAATATTCAATTATTGTTAAATTTCCATCAGCATCCTCGGCAAATGAAAATTTTCCTGAGTAATCTCTTTAGCTGGAAACCTCTAAAGATAACAGTGATATAAACCAACATTACAACCTTGAATCTAGTACCTCCTTAGGCCGGTGCCATGGGGGTCGTTAATGATGTTACCTTTTTGCGATTTACAACTATTTGTTTTTGCATTCATAACAGAGAAATCTTCCCGTTCAAATAACCAGGAAATTTGAGAAACAATTGCTCATTTTATTTCTTTCAAATAACTGAATAAATATGGCAAACATGCATTTGCTTATGAGTATATAATATGCAATCTTTTTTCAGAAAATATAAATTTACAACAAGTATGATTATCTAAAAAATAAAACAACAACAACAGAACAGAAATTAAATTTATCGACAATTGCAACAGCAAAATGAATTGACATTCAAATGAAAGGTGTTAAGAAAATACGTATAAAGTTTTATCACGTAAATAACTTTTATGCAATAAGGAAATAACAGTCACCGTACTAAACTTTCACTCATTTTTGCAATAATACTCAATTTTGAGAAAAATGCCATCAAAGGTTTTACTCTAACTTCAAAAGATCGTTTGTACTCAAACTATTTTATTTACTTCTACTTTTTTTCCAGTTTAAAGAGTATTTTATTAAGGAAAAGGGAAAACCACTTCGGGTACTTAACCGAAATACTAACACAATTTCCGATTTATAAAGATAATCATCAGATATGAAACGTATATTCTAACTGATTTTATCTAAGATTTATAGTTTCATGCTTGATCATAATAAAATATCATCTGAAATGAGTTTAGAGGACAAAATCTGTGCATATTACAAATGATGAAGTAAGTCACGAAATATGAGTGCTTTGAATTCGTTAAAATTGAATTTGAACAATATTATTTTTTTTTTTGGGGGGGGGGTGCGTATTCGTGGATTGGGAAATATTAATTCAATTAATGTATAAATTAAAATAAACAGGTAAAATGTCTGTTTTTCTTTCTTCTGGATATTATAGTTTTGGAATTAAAAGTGTTTTTATATTAAATTTGATATTTTAGAAAAAAGTAATACGTATAACAATATATTTAAACACTTTTTTCTTTTATATTTTCATTCTTCCAAAGTTATTTGAAACTACAATTTTTATAACATAGAACGACACAGGATTATTCTTATATTTTTACAGTCGATACCCATTTGTACATCATACAGTGGACTCTGCCATTTGTTATATAACTTGACGGAAACAGAATCTCACGAGGTTCTCAACAGTCAACAGCAGATTTGTAGATGTCCTGGTAGACCATGTGACACCGACTGGACAGACACCGGTCGATCCATCATCAAGGTCTTTAAAAATGCAGGTATTGTAATAAATTGTATTGTAATGCGCTTGAAATTGTGCTTGTTCTGGTGAATACCAGTAAATTTAAATTATATTCATTCATGCTCATTAATTAATAATCTCGATAAAAGCAATGTTTTGATTTGTATTTATTGTTTTGTCTGCAAATGCGGTCCGCTTGCATATGTTTTATATAATTACAAGAGCAAGTGTGATAGGGAGCTTAAAATCTAGCATCGCATTTTATGTCGACAGTCTTATATATATGATTATTGTCAGTAATTTCGATCATTAATTATGTTTCATTTTTGCATAAAAAATGCACACGCATGTATGCAACAACGGGGGCACAACATGTATCAACAGATAGCTTCTCGTGACCACGCGCTCTGCTGGTTGCACGTTTTTTTATATGCAAAACTCTTAATGCCAAAACATAACTGACTATAGCAAATTAACAGCATCGAATCAGCTGATTTCATTATCCGAAATACAAAAAAAGCGTTAAGCGGAAATACCGATTTAGTTGTGTATATTTTATGTATGCACTTGTTTTAGCATTAAAATCTGCAGATGCCCTCTGATTGATAAAATCCCTCGCCTCACGCTTTTCATACACAAAAAGTGTACATTAGCCCACTATTGGACTTTGATATACAAACAAAACAAGGGGTTGTTGGATCTGCATAAAATACAAATCTAATTTCTTTTAAACAAAAATTAAGCATTCTTCATGTGGTGGTTTACAAAACAATTTTGTCTGCAGATAATTTTTGATTTAAAGTACATGTCTTTCGTTTATTATTCAGGACAGGAAGTTGAAGTTAAGATGAATTATTGTACGTTGCATCAACCAGACAAAGTTTGTCGGCAGAACGAGGTTGCCCTTATAACACGTGGCAGAGGACCTTTTACGTTTGAAATTGCAGACGATTTTAGGTAAACACCTTCAGTACTGGTTTATTGATTTCAAGGGATCTTTTTATCATTAATAAAACTCAATTTTTTTGTATTTATTTTCAATAAATTTGTAAAGTTATTTCGAAAACATGAATGGAAACATAACGTATCATGTCCTGGTTTATTTTATTCATGTACATTCATTAATAAGCCTTTTAGAATTATCGTCAAAATATAATAAAAATAAGATGCGCATGATTATTTTGAAGGTTATTTTGAATAATAGGACCTAAGTTTGTAATATCAACTTTTTAGATACCTTATTTATGAATGATAATTGATTAACCTATATGTGTACATACATTGAAACAACGGCTGTCACACTCCTCATGCTTCTATACTTTAACAGGAAATGTGTCAATGTTTCTAAATAATGTTGAGGGAGCTATCATTCAGAATATTGCAATTGTCAAAATATTTTGTTACCATGACTAAATTTTGCGATTAAGATAAGGCAATAGGATGACTTGTATTTTATTGTTCTGATGGTGTAGTATTTAGCTTTATAACATCCTGAGATAACAGTTAATATTTCGATGCTTCAGATGCCGCTGTTACAGACAGATGTACGCACACAGGTCTTGGAGAGACGGGGACTATAACTATATAGAATACAGTTGTGGAAAGGTATGTTTACTCACGTAATATTGAATGTATATTTGATAGAAAACTTGCTCAGCTGAAACTGAAAATATTTGACATACTGAATGGACCTCTTTTAAGATAACAATTTCCCATTTAAATCCCTTTAAAAGAACTATGACTCAAGTTAAATCATATAGCAGGGAAGTAATTATAAATAAGAAATTTATAAATTTATTTACCAAAGATACCCTGTTAGATTAAAACTTGTTTTCCGATATGTATCAGATGAGTTCTTTTTAACTGTTAAAGATAGTGAAAAATATCGATATTATATAAATAAATTGTTTGTTATATTTAGACTTATAAACATCACTTTGCAATTAGGACAATTTTAATTTCAGCCACGTTGTAGTCATAACCGAAGTCCAACGACAGATTGCATGAGAATTATGTATGATAGCTCGACGGACAGTTTTACTCACGATTATCTTTGTCGGTGCCGACGACATGAGGAATGTATTGGCGGACCTATTCCATCACCTACACGGCCTGAGACCATCCGAACATGTCAACGAATAACTCCAGCTGAACTTGACCGCCGTCGATCAGTTCGTCGGCAATACCGGAACATTCAACAACATTGAATTTATTGAACGTTTTCCGGAGTGCCAATTTTACATATAAAACTCTTCAGTTCAATGTAAATTGATACATGTTCTGCGAGAACAACGATTGACTTGAGCATTATCAGTTCAGAAAAAAGTGGTAGCATACTTTAAAAATGTTTACAAGGAATTTAGATGGTAATGTATCGTGACTTAACGATGTCAAATTGACAATGTCGCTTGTGACATAAGACAAACTAGGTGAACAATTTAAATGACAAACACGGTCCAGTTTTATAATAGCCTCGTTTTTTAAATTATTAAACGTCTTTAAAATGGTATATAATTTAAGTAACAAACAATATTATTATTTCTACAATTTTAATTGTTCAACAACACCATATAAAGAAGAAAACCCGTATTAAATAAGACCGCTAAAATATTTAACGTTACAGCAAAAGAAAAAAGTATTTGTTTGACACAGATGTACCAGTTATAATCATATCAGATGTAAATGTAAGATAATATGTTGTATAAATTGTAGGTTAGATCTGTTCATGTGTTATTTCTATAGATATCTTGCTTCAATTTGAAAACATGGAGATGGTTCCAGTGTCTTTTTCCGCCCTTGTAAATAAATACTTGAAATATACCCCCTTCACCCGCAACCTTCACCCTCTCCCTACCAAGAAATGGGCCAAAGCACTAATCCGACTAAACAGCATAACTATAAAAGGAATTATCTTCAAGTTATTTTCATAATTCCATCGTTTATACTCTTGATATCTTTTATTTTCTAAAAGAGTAAAATAATTTTCAATACTTTTGTAACCTGATATGTTTGGCAATATGAGAAAACTATAAGAAAACAAGGAAACTTTATCAATCTGATGCCTAACCATTTGTGATATTAACCAAACTGTGTCTGTTCATTTCTTTGATTTTATTTTCATATGTATTATGTATTTAATGTTTTAAACATATGCATGTAAAGCACATGTTTATGTAAATATTTTCGGTTGTGCTTCATTAACATATTTGTAATAAAGTCAATCACCGTCAATGAGATGTCTCATCAGTTTAGACAAAAAAAACCAAAACAAACAAAACCAATGTGAGGTTAATTGACATATATATAAGCCGCGCCATGACAAAACCAACGTAATGCGTTTGCGACCAGCATGGATACAGACCTGCCTGCGCATCCGTGCAGTCTGATCAGGATCCATGCTGTTCGCTTGCAAACCCTATAGCAAGTAGAGGAACTGATAGAGAACAGCATGGATCCTGATCAGACAGCGCGGATGCTCAGGCTGGTCTGGATCCATGCTGGTCGCCAACGCACTATGTTTGTTTTGTTATAATGCGGCTCATATGCTGTTTAAGACTAGACTGTACAGTTTAGTAGATAATATGGAAACCTTTGATGTCAAACAATGCCAATTTAAAATGTTTACTGCATGTTTGGTTTGAATGAGCAAGTTCATTAGTTTATACAGAATTAATATTAGTTCGATTGTGTAACAAGCTATTAGTTTACAGACGCACTCCGTTCCTGGGATTACTGCAGGATCATTATGTTTTTATTAACCCACTATATATTGTGTAAAGAAAAAGAGTGTGCGCGCTCTTTTTATCCCGAAGGCACATGTATTATATATTTTGATTAGTCAGTATCAGCATATGGCAGGTTATTTCATACGGTGCTTATCATGCTACATTTTGCGGTTTGGAATGCGGTATGATTTAAATAAAAACTCACTCATTCAAAGCGAGTTCTAGTACATACATTTCGTTAATTATGAAATCTCCCAATAACAAATTTAGTTGAACAGTAACGAGAAATCCAGGTAAACCACCACCACCACCGACATCATCAGTATTATTATTACAAATGGCTATTACGGTGGCCTAACAGAGGTACATGTAGCAACAACGAGTGTAAAAATAAAAGAAATACAAATTATAATGGCATTGGTGACATTAAAATTTTATATGGCATTATTGGTGATTATTTTTTGGCATCACTACTATACAATAAAGTCGGTGTACACAATTCGAGATTCTCTGCATTGCTAGTATTTACTATACATGTTAAGTTTAATCTATCTTGCCTTGAACACTTTATAGATTTTTCGATACGTGGGAACTAATCTGTAAAGTAACATTGACTTTCCTTTGTTCTACATATCATGTTCATTGCTCACTGTCAATTTTTCATGGTTTATTTATCGATAAACTTGTTTAATAGGAAATTATTAAATAAAACGCATATTGAAATGACAAAAAAAAAACAACAATAAAAAAAAAAAAAAAAAAAAAAAAAAAAAAAAAAAAACACACCCACTCAAATTACTAAAATTACCCATTACCCGAAATTGTTTTTTTTTTGGTATTTTGTAAGAGGGCCTTAATTGATTTTCTCCTCTATCGACTGATAAAAAGTGTATTCATTCAGTTGGAATCGATTTGAAGGTAAATGACAATAATGTTAACTTTATTATGTTATAATTTTTTAGTTTTCGTTTAAAGAACAATAACAACTAATTCTTTATTTTTGGGAGTATGTTTCGAAACTTGGGGAACGATTCTTTCATGATGTGGAATACCTTAAACTGTTCTTTGTACAAATCAAATTACTACAAGTCTTATAATGTGTACAAAAAAACTTTTTATCATTTTCCTGTACCATCCATGAACACATTCAATCGAATCAAGCCTGCAACATTTTCAATTTGCCACTTTGGACGTTCTTTAGGGATTCCCTTTTTGTCTATTCAATAACATGTATAAGTTAAAGCATTTCACAACGGAGTGAATGAAGGGCCAAAAGATCTAGATTTAATGTAAAGATTATCCTCAATTTAAGTCATAAAATTCTAACAGCCTTTTGTGTTTGTTCAACAAAGCTTATACTTTGACTTTACTAACCTGTCTATTGCATACTTATGTATCTATCTTCCATTAATGTCCAACCCCTCACGGAGCCGTAGATATGTCTGCGTATCAAAATCGCATGAAAGTAAAAAAGAGTTGTTTAAAAAAAGGGTAAAATAATATTTAAAATGTTAAAAACAGGGGGAGCTGGAAAACTAGGGTGAGATATGATATATGCAAACTATATGGCTGCACTGAACTGCTTTTGGGTAGGGAGTAGGGCAACTGCAGGGGTTAGGTGGTTCAAGTTGTATACCGTCCTAGGAATATACCGTCCTAGGAAAGAAAGAAAAATTTAAATAGTCTGAAGTTGCTGTGAATTACTTATAACATAGGGGATACCATCCATGGCGTGATGTTCGGGAGAGGGGTGTCACATACTCTTCTATGGGGATAGCAACCATACCATAGTGAATCGTATAGAAAAGGGATAAACTAGCATCTACGTCTGAATTCCAGTTTTCGAAGCTTAATGGAGTGAAGCATGTCCGTGACGCTAGAGGTCTGACCATAATCTAGATTAATCCATCAGGCTGCTCTTCTTTGGACATTTTCAATTTGATCTATTTTTATTTTCGTGTGTGGAGATCATACTTCGGAACCATATTCACGCTGGATTATACGGTCAATGTACATAATATGTATATTAACCTTCGATAAATGTTTGGTAAGTTCCGTGAGATGTATACCGCAAGATGTGATTTAATTCACATTGTAACTGTTAAGTAATTATACCGAGCGTTAGAGCGCTGTAACATCGCACTTTGGAGTCCAACGCACTTTGGGGTCCAACCCCAAAGTACGTTACACTTCGCATCTCACTTTGGGGGTCAACGCAATTTGGGGTCAAAATCGAGAAAATGACCCCAAAGTGCGTAAATATGCTACATAACAACGCACTGTGGGTTCCAGAGTTCTGAAAGTGTCAACTGAGTTCTGCTTAAATACTGAATACTTACTTATTTTTGATCTGCGACATTGAAATATTTGAGGTGGAGTTCGAGATGACCGTCGGTACTTTGTTTGATGCTGATAAAAGTTTCATTAATTTTACCATTTGAAATATCTGAAAATTGTGTCCATAGAACAAAGTTCTCTAGTACATAAATTGTGAATGTATTCCTAAAATTAAAAGATGCTGCGAAAATATCATATTCTGTCAGTCTTTTACTTGATAACTTTTGGTGCCATATTGAGCCCTATATTAAGTATGAAAGTTTTTCACTTACTGATCAAGATCTTTTAAAATCCCTATTGATTCTACTATAATTCAGGGCACATGTTTTGCGTCTATTTGATATCTTGATTTTATTTAAATATGATGCATTTAAATAAAAAACAGTTATATTTTTCCAAGGAACTATAAATATACTCTATTACAATGTTCTGGCAAAATATTAATTTCTCGATCGGACTATAGCGATTTTTACAAATACATTATTTATATTATTATTATTATTATTATCAACAAACTTGAGTTTTTTTGTAAGCTCCGTAACAATCGTTCGCCAGAGGCTTTGTTAATGGGAAATCGTACATACTTCTTTAGAAAGGGCAAACATGAATTTTATAATGTTAAAATAATGGTATATAAGATATACAGAGAAATATAAGATGCTTGGTACCTGAATAAAGTAGCGATAAATGCGAAATAATTTGTCAGAAAAGTAGCAAAATGTAAACAATGTAGTATTGTACTTCAATATAAATACTAATTCACTATAACTGTACTCATTGCAAAAAAGCAACAGATGAAAAAGATTATTCAGGTAATTGGCCAATGAGTAACTTGGATACTATGGAAGTACATCAAAATTAAAAAGCTTTCAAGAAATACAAACAAAAGCATAATGGGTCTTTAAAACCTTATTTTTATAATCTCGGGGCGATCGACACCCACCACCCCCTCAATACTCCTCAATGAGAAATTTACATTTTTATGGAGTTCCGCTCTTAATGTGTGACTATATAATAAAATAGTTTTACTGCCTGTACGGACTACTTCTACTTAAGGCCGCATCTACACCTAGTCAAGTTTCTAAATGTCACATTTAAATAAGCTAAATAAATGGCCCCTTTCAAAATTTTATCAGGCACATTTTTTTTACTGAAATGTCTTTTTTAGATTTCCCATGATTTAAACTTTTGTCTTTGCTATAAAAAAAACGGGAAAATGATGCAATTAGCTAAAGACAATGGAGTTAATAAAAGGTGTATATTCTCGAACTTCGTTCGCTCGAACTCAGAGGGTCTGTGCAAATTTGTTCGAGAGATCGTAGTTCGAGCCAACCGAGGTTGAACTATCATCACGTAGGACATATGCCTAAATTTTCTCCAGCTTACACCTGCCGAATGATAAATACGTCAGTTTAATTGTTTGTTAGTACATCAGTTCGTCAAATACGTCATTTAATTTAAATATTAAGAATTATTATCCCAGTGTTTTCATTGAGTATTAACGGTGCACTCTGTGTTAATCTGTATTCATGCATATTGTAAATGGTGAAGTTCGATCGGGCAATCATTTTACAATCTTGTTGAACAATATTTTTATATGTGTATAATGGGATAAAATGAATTTTAAACAATGAATTAATTAAATATTAAAAAAGACAAT